TCTCTCTCTCTCTCTCTCTCTCTCTCTCTCTCTCTCTCTCTCTCTCTGAAGAAATCATGGTTAAACTGTTTTCTATAACACACCATCTTATTATTTTTTTAAATCTTAAAGGTGTGACCTTTGCTTCTGTTTCATTAGCATTTTAGTGGTAAATGAAATGCAACTCCCTGGGGAGAAAAAAACAGGATGTTTTATTCATTGCTGGAAAGGACCGGTGCTTCCATTCTTATCGTGTCCTTGCTCCCCCTCACCTGTGACTCATTGCCTCTCAAACATCCATGTCTCTGGTGCTAGATCCTGCAGCAAGGAGGGGCTCAGCTGTGATACATAGATATGACTAAAATATTATATTTATAGCATTTCGATCTTTAGTTCAGCAGACTTTTCTGGTTCTTTTTCCCACATGAAGAACAGGGACCCAAACATGTTGTGGCCATCAAACATCTCATCTGCAACTATGGGATTCTGGTCTCATGTTGATACAATAGAATTCCAATATGCACAAGACTGTTACAGTATGCTCTTCTCTCATTCACAGCACAGAGCATCACATTCAATTCAGTCAGTTTTACTGTGCAGTGTTGCATTGCTTATCAACACACATAAATATTTTGTAGAACATAATTTTTCCAGGTACATAACAAGCACTACTTCAGTAAAATGTCAATCTCTAAAATTGTATTGATTGATTGATGATGACAGAAGTGACAACAAGCCAGTTAAAAGAACTGACATTTTATGAGGTTATCTCTTGGCTTGGAAAATACAAATGTATACATTATGTTATAAACATTAAGATGTGTGTATGAACCCGACAGGGACGATCATACACTGTGACAATACCAGAAGAAAATATATACTCTCTGATAGTGCCTGCTCGATGCATCTCAGTCGTGGTGTCAAGAACAAAATCCATTTGTGTCTGGAGGGAAACCTCAGGGTTTCCGTGCTTTTCTTTCCATGCTCAAGCAAACAAAAGGACTAAATGCATCTGTTATAGTTTTAAAAGGTGTTCCTAGATGGTAAGGGAGGGCATGCCAAATGTTGAGTAATGAGCCAGACAGATGAGTTTATACAATAAATTAATAATTTGGTCTGTATGTTATCCTCATGAATGTGTTGTGGGACTGCACCACTCCTCATCATAACCTATTGTAACATATTCTCCCATTGCTTCCTGTTGTGCTTCTTGTTTGGACTCCCTGTCACCTTATGTAACTGTGTCAGACAGATTAAGTCTTGTCTCATCGTGTACCTTTCTCTATTAGGTGAAACAAATTATGGAGGAGGCCGTAACGAGGAAATTTGTGCACGCAGACAGCAGCCACATCATATCCTTCTGCGGTAAATGTGTTTTGTGATTACAGTGCACAATAAGACATCTTTCCCAGTCAGGGTGTTCCAAAATTCAGGGTACATGCTCAAGGCCTTGTTCCATTAGCTTTAATGTTTAACACTACGTCAGGAATGGGTGTCATAGGGGCTATAACGAGGGAGAGACAAAGTAAATAAGAGAGAGTCATTTTGTAGCATCATTTTGTTTTGTGCCTAAAATCGTTGTGTATCTAGTTTCAGAGATAATAGCACAGGACATGCTGTATTTGAACACTAAGCCACAGTAGTTGTTACAACCTCATTGACATGTACAGTGAAGATGGTTGACATCATTCCGTGTCAAGTCGTCACCGACTACGAGTTCATCATCACAATGACAAATGGTTCCCTACAGTCTGTTCAAGCAATTTATTTTTATAATGCTATTAGTCATCATGTTGATTTATATTTAATAAGGTGGATGGATGGTTATGTACTAAAGTACACTAACACTCTTCAAAGGCGTTGATACTAACCAGGAGTGAGGCGTGTGTGATTCACGTCCCTCATATCCTAGCAACGGTGTATTGGGCAGATTTTAGTCTATTTCTACTTGTGCCACCTGTGCTTGCTTATCACCGTTTATTTATACTAAAAACATATGAAGACTTGAGGCTTTCACAAAGAGGATATTATACCTCGCTCATGAAATAAAAACTAACTCAAAGGCAAGTGAAGCGATTCTACCTTGAGGACACAAAAATATAAACAACATTTTATTGAAAAAGAATCGCAATCAAATAATGGTTAATACTCTGTGTATGTCTGTGTGTGTAGCTGTAGTGGAGGCCTGCATTCTTCATGGGCTGAAGCGACGTATTGCAGGTCTGCTCTGCAGTAACAAGGTTGCAGCACTCTTCATGAAGGCGGCAAAAAGCTTTTCGCCTGCTGAGGAACTCTGCCACAAGGTCCAGGAGGTGGAACAACTCATCGAAAACAGGTGAGAAGTCAACTTCTGCCTGTGCGAGGCCAGTGACACAAAATTGTACATCTTTCCCCGTATTACTCTACTTTTACGTGCAATGATGCATCCTAATACCTCGTCCTGTCCTATACGTATGTTCCACTCTCACCACCTATACAGACATCTCATCAGTCAGGTCTCTCTTCTGTTTTTCAGCAAGCAGAACAATTCTTCCCTGAGTAATGACCGCAGTCGGCAATCCAAGTTGGCCAACCTCTCCCCGCAGGCACTGAAACACATTTGGATCCGAACTGCACTGATGGAAAAGCTCTTAGACAAGATTGTCGTGTACTTGGTGGAGAACAGCAGGTATTGTTATGCATCATTCAATGCAATTATAAGCCACAGACTCTAGAAGATTATATCCTCCGTTCAATACTAAATAATAAATAAAAGAACTAAATAAAATGTTCTAAATATTGTGTCCTGCAGTGCCTTCTATGAGAAAGAAGCCATGCTGATGGATCTTGTGGATGGACCAATTCTTGCATCTCTATTGGGTATTTATAAACCACACTAACCTGCACATGGACCACACTGAAACCCCTTATTTTGCCTTACTGTACTAACTTTCCATATCTGAACGACTTTAAACTAATTAACCGTGTTTCACAGTCGGCCCTTGTGCTTTGGAGTACACCAAAGTTAAGACTGCAGACCATTTCTGGACGGACCCATCTGCTGACGAGCTCGTGCAGCGGCATCGCATCCACAGCGGCCACTGTCGGCAGGATTCACCCTCGAGACGGCCTGCCCTGGTTAGATAGTGAAGGCTTTGATTGATTTTTCTCAAATAGTCATCTATAAACTACTGTGTGTAATATATCTGATGTCTTCTTAACCTGTACCAGATCCAGAAGAGACAGTCCAGTGGTAGCATGGATGATCGCCCTCTGATGTGGGTGAGGGACTATGTTGAATCACTCCACCAAAACTCCAGAGCAACACTTCTGTTTGGGAAGAACAATGTGCTGGTGCAGCCGGTGCGTGTTTTTCTGTTTCAGTACATCTTTTAATACAACAATAACACAGTCCTTTAAGAGAGGCTTGTTTATTTTCCGGGGACCTGGGTGCATCTGTATGGCAGACATGCTGTGGTTTGAAAGCTCTTACTTGTGTCTGCAGAGAGATGACATGGAGGCCATCCCAGGCTACCTTTCTCTACATCAAACTGCAGACGTCATGACACTGAAATGGACACCCAATCAGCTGATGAATGGCAATGTGGGAGAGCTAGATTCTGAGAAAAGGTTAGGCCAATAGAACCCAATCAATGAAAACAAACTTGTTTTTGCATAGTTAACTCAATGGCTCCTATTTTCTCATCTTTCTTTCAGTGTTTATTGGGATTATGCTATGACAATTCGTTTGGAGGAGATTGTGTATCTCCACTGTCATCAGCAAGGTGAAGTATCCCCTTTTAATGTTTTAAGCACCCAACGTAGGAGTTTAAAGAGTTATTCATCTTTTTTTAATATTTTGTTTATTTCTCCAGTGAACAGTGGTGGGACAGTAGTTTTGGTGAGCCAGGATGGGATCCAGAGACCTCCTCTACATTTCCCCAAAGGAGGCCACCTCCTCCAGTTTCTGACCTGCCTGGAGACCGGCCTGCTACCTCACGGACAGCTGGACCCACCGCTCTGGAATCAGAGAGGAAAGGTCAGCATGAACAGAGGATAACAAAATACTTCTGTCGCACCTTATTTCCAATCATTTCTGCAGTAATGCTACATTTACCTACAGCTACAATCTGTTGTGACAATCCTCGGCAAAACATTTCCTTTCCATTTTACAGGGTAAGGTTTTCCCCAAACTGCGAAATAGGAGTCCACACGGCTCATGTGATTCTGTATCCGATAAGGAAGATGATGAAGCGACCGATTATGTGTTTCGGATCATCTTTCCTGGCATTCAGATGGAGTTCAGTAAGTGTCTTTAATTGTCCTGCTCTGCCTCCCTGAGTTAATCTAATAAAACATCACCAGAGATTAGATCTACGATTGCATTACTCTCTTAATACTGATTTACAGATTAGACCATTTCAGTTTAGATAAATCTGTTTTCCCTCGGCATATATCATATATGTACATCTTTCTAATTAATTTATCTCTAATTTTAAGCTGATACATTTCATATCTTTGTCCTGCCTATCTAGTGCTTGTGTGTCCATTTCACATTATAGTCCCAACAACAATAAGGCAACTTTGCATGACATACAGTAATTTGTATGCATTACATTACATTACATTACAGTCATTTAGCAGACGCTTTTATCCAAAGCGACTTACAATAAGTGTATTCAACATAGGTATTCAAAAGAACTACTAGTCACCAGAAGTCATGAGTGCATCTCCTTTTTTAAACAAGCATCTAAGAGCATAAACCAGAGCAAAAGTACAGTGCAGAAACAAATGAATACAATAAGTGCAACAAACTAATATGAATACAATAAGTGCTAAGTATGCAACATCCCCATCTCCATCTCCATCTTTTCTTTCTACATTTTTTCTACGTCTTTCTTATTATTTGCAGACATGCGCTTTTATGTCCAAAACTATTGGAATTTCATCTGGTTTTATTTAACTCTGATGACGATAGTAGCAACGGTACTGATAAGGACTATCATGCTGTGCAGTGGCCCTGGAGCTGATGGACCAGGGCGTGAACTTGTGGCAACCGACGCCCAGAAAGTCCTCGTGCTCCTCCTGCTCACAGAATGGCTCCTCTGATGGCTCTCTGCCAAACGGCTGTAATCAGGAAAGGTAAGTATTTCCCAGGGACAGGCCCAAAGATAAATTCTGATTAATCCAGTTGAATTTGCCATTCCTTTCCTACCAGGGCTCCCTTAAAGCTCCTTTGTGACACCATGAAGTACCAGATAATCTCCCGTGCTTTCTATGGATGTAAGTACAAACAACTGTCGATTAACTTTGATTCATTGGGGAATAATTAAATCCCTGATGAAACAACTTCCTTGTCAATGTGAAAACGTTCATCTGTCCTCTCCAGGGCTCGCATACTGCCGTCATATGTCCACAGTTCGTACGCACCTTTCTGCTCTGGTCAACACCACTATAGTTGACCCTGATGTGCCCTGTAATGCCCGAGGAGGACTCTCTGTGGAGGTCTGGGGCCGGTTCCTCAAGGACAGCTCTGTAAGATTCACAGCGAAACACCAGGCCATAAGATTGTTTTTGGATTTAATTCATTACAGTATTGAATGGTTCTTTGAAAAAGTCAGCATTAATTAATACCAAGACCTAATCTTTTTCAGGCTTATGAGCAAGAGGAGATACACAGGCTTGTGTATTTCGGTGGTGTGGCTCCTTCATTACGCAAAGAGGTCTGGCCCTTCCTGTTGGGACACTACCAGTTTACCATGACTGAGAAATGCAGACTAGAGGTATTTCCATGTGCTGTCAGACTTTATGATTATAAGACTGTAAAGTAGACATGTACACCACGGGGGATGCTTCCATCTGTGTTAACACAAGGGTTATGTTTCAGATTGATGAGCAGATGCGGACCATGTATGAGCAGACTCTGAAGGAGTGGCAGGGTTGTGAGGCCATAGTCCTCCAGAGGGAGAGGGAGAAACATGCTGAGGCCCTCGCCAGATGTTCGACCGCAGCCAGTGTGGAAAGAGGGCCAGTGCAGCGGGACTCCACCATCAGTACAGATGCAAGTTTGACCTTTTGGCATAAAATGTCCTGCGTTATGTTAACCATGATGAAAACTTGAAAGGGAACTGTTTATAATATTAAGACATTTCCAAGCAAGTTGACAATTCTGCTTTTTGTCTCGTGTGATGCTTTTCTCCACTGCAGTCGTCTCTAAGTAGCAGCTCAGATCAACAGAATGCCCACTCACAAAGTGATTCCAGCAGCAGCACACGGGTAATTTCTCATGAGCATCAAAACAGCAATGATCAATGGTCTTCAAACTTATAGTATGCCTTAGAAAATGTTTTGCAGTAAAAACACGAGTGTAATTCTTCAACATTTGTCTATTTCACTGCTTCGGGACACAAAACGCATGCTGACCACTTCCCTTTGGTTACCAGGTAATTGAATCGGTTGAGACAGTGGATCAGATTGAGACTGAGGCCAGGGTTAAAAAAGGAGAAGCACAGCAAAGTAGTCCACTGAAGGACACCCCAAGTGGCACTGCAGACACCCCACGACTTCCCTCCAGCAGCCCCTCCTCCCCAAGTCTGTCAAATCAACGCCTGGATTCAGAAAACAGCCCTCTTGTCACAGAGTCAGCTGTTGGAGCTGCAACCTCTCAGCAGTCAGAAGCATCACAAGTCACACATGAAAAACCTACAACTGGATCACAGTCCGGAGGTGAGGATGTAATGGACCCAGTAGCCAAAGCTGAGATTTCAGAGACAAAGATGGAGAAAGTTCCAGAAGGTGAGATGGTTAAGGAATGTGGAATCATCAGTAAGTTACAAGAGACATCTGAATCGAAAGAAAAACCTGAAGTAGAAGAAACTAAATCTGAGAAATCTGAAGATTTAAAAGCAGTCGACACAAACATGAATTTAAGAAGTATTCCAGAGAGCACTAATGTTCTGAAGCTAGAAACAGAGATTCATAATGAATATTTCCAAGCACCTCCACTCGGGCAGACCTTGACTTTTCAAGCACACAAGAGCAAAGATCTGGAAGTGGAGCCACTATGTCCGCCTTTAGCAGAAAAAGATACTAATCAAGAGGGTGAAAAAAAGGAGCCGGCGATTTCTGAAAAACCTGAGCCGGCTTCTGAAAAAGAGGCCCGTACCACAGAGCCAGAAAGAAAGGACGCTGAAGGAACAGTTAGTGATTTGGCTGGAATCAAAAAAGACAGAGCTGCAGAATTTCCATTTGAGAAACCTGGTTCAAATTCACCTGTCAGACAAGTACTGAATGCTCTCCAGTCAGCATCTAGGGGCAGCCTTTCAATATCGTCACACTCTCGGCAGTCTCCAGACACAGCAGATTCAGATGACTCTCCCTCGGCCCTGGAAATGGAGGACATTCCTGCAGGGACATGTGTGACCTCTGAGGATATGAAGGCCAGGCCTTTGGCAGGTCTCGCTGCTCCCCCTGTCCCCCTTGCGCAAAGACAGAAAATGGCATCAGAGGACCTTGTCCTAGATCACCATCTGGACACAGCCTATAACACCAGTCCGGAGGGCACCGACCTGGGCCTTTCTGAAGAGGAGCCTGAGATGGAGAATGTGCTCACTGAACCAGAAGAGTCAGCAGAGGTGGGAGGAGACGCCAAACACGACGAATCCTCAGAGGAACGAACCTATTCCGTAAGCATTACACATGACAGAAACACTTCGTCTTTTGATCATAAGCACGTGCTAACAGAATTCTTTTTTTCTTTTTTTTTTGCAGCAAGAAACACTGGACATGTACTTGATCAATTTACACCGCATCGACAAAGATGTCAGACGTTGTGACAGAGCATGCTGGTACTTCACTCCTGAGAACCTGGAGAAGCTGCGTAACATCATGTGCAGGTAAATGTGTCGCCATGCTTAATGTCTCTGACGTTTGTCTTCAACCCAAAACAATAACGTCTGAAAAAAACTTTGCAGTTACGTGTGGCAGCATCTGGATACAGGTTACGTCCAGGGGATGTGCGATCTGCTGGCTCCCCTGCTGGTTATCCTAGACGACGGTCAGTGACACTTTTCTGCAGACTCTATCACTATACACTTTGCCTAAATGCACATGAATGGCTAATAGTCACTCTCTGTTTTTATGTGTGTGCTTCACAGAGGTCATGGCATTTAACTGCTTCACTGAACTAATGAAGAGGATGAACCAGAATTTTCCACATGGCGGTGCCATGGACTCTCACTTTGCCAATATGCGTTCTCTTATCCAGGCATGTACTTATTATGTGCACCGACACGTGTGCACGCATGCATATACACAAAAGCCGTAAAACAAAGATAACATTTAATTTTTATACTAATAGATCCTGGACTCCGAGCTGTTTGAACTGATGCAGCAGAATGGAGACTACACACACTTCTACTTCTGTTATCGCTGGTTTCTACTTGACTTCAAAAGAGGTGATCGCAAACGCAGGCGTCATGACATTTGCTTGTCCATTAATGAGAATTTTGCAATTTGTATAACGTGATACTGAACGTAATCTCATCTATTTCTGTTTGTTTTTTGCACAGAAATGGTGTACGATGACGTGTACTCTGTGTGGGAAACAATCTGGGCCGCCACGTACACCTCCTCTGATCACTTTGTGCTCTTCATTGCTCTGGCACTTGTGGAGATGTATAGAGACATCATCCTAGAAAATAACATGGACTTCACGGACATCATCAAGTTCTTTAATGGTAAGAAAAGACGAGACAATACGGCGGAAACCATGTTGCCAATGAAGTAAACCAGTTGATTAAGATGATATTCCAGCTATGATAATGTAGGATACTTTCAAAATATAAATTCCACTCGCTCAGTATCAAGGGGAAATTAAACTGTTGATTATTATAAATATTACAAAGTATGTGACAAAGATTTTCAAATTCTCTTCTCAGAAATGGCAGAGCGACACAACGTTCCGCAGGTCCTGACGATGGCTCGAGACTTGGTCAACAAAGTGCAGACGCTCATAGAAAACAAGTGATGCTGCCGCCTCTGCTGCTGCTCCCACATTTCTCTGTGCTTAATTGTCTTAAGATACCACACACAATAGTAGTTTATTCAAGAGGAAAGGAATACATGTAAATGAAATGCAGTGATTGGTACGTATACTGGTCATTATTTTAAGACTTCTTTCCAGTTGCCCCTCTCTATATTCAGGAGATGCAATTATTGCCAGTCAATTTATTTTGAAAGTGTTAATGTTCACCTAGTGAATGTACCCTTGATGAAAATGCTTCAGGATGTTATTTATTTTGCCTTAAATTGAGCTGTTTTTTTCAGGGATACAGCAACCAAATGTGTCACTGTATTGTTCTTCTAATAAGGTTGATTTTGTTCAGTTATACACATCTCGTGATGCACTTGAATATATTTTCAATATTGTTATTATTTTTTGCTGAAATTGTAGCTGACATGTTTAAACATCTTGTGATGCACTTGAATATATTTCAGTAATAATAATGTCTGGCATTATCGGATGATTTGGTTTTGTAAACGTTAGAGGTACATTAGAGGAGGTTGTGTCCACGTCGTGTGTGTGGTTTGCTTCTCAAAAGCCATTTCGAGGACCTCATGCGGGCTTCTCTGAGCCTCGATGGTCCTCTTCCTCTGCTTGCCTCTGATGCACACACGCTTGCAGGATATCCAGACCGGAGCTGTGAACCCCGTGCAGTCCTGCATGATTGCACATAGTTTGCATACAGTACATGTATTGCTCTTTCCTCCGTTACCAAACTGCCATACTTTGTGCTACTTCTATCTCTGACCTCCTCTATGCATTGATTCACTTTTTTTTCTGTGCAGACTGGTTCTTTCTACTGGTTAAAATGGGCAATCACATTCTTCTCACCTTAAATAACGCAATGCCGCTCAGGCTGACGAATTCAGCAGTTTCCTAACGGATTCTACTTCTTTGCAGCATTGCAATAGCTGCCATGGTGGTTCATCTTGAGCTGGTGGTAAACTTAAAGTGGGTGGCAGTGAGGGAAGCATTCTTCTTTTTTCTTTCACTTTGAGATCAGTTTAATGTTTTTTTGGCCTGCCGGTCTTGGTTGCCTTGTCTTTCACACGCTCTAGTCCATTTTGATATGCCCAAACTTTTGGCAACACGTCTTACAGTGGTTGTTGATATTTCCTGGAGTAACTGTGCATTTCTCTTCATTATTACCTCAAGATCTCCATGTCTGTACCTGTTGAAAAAGAGCTCTGCTTGCTAAACACTTATCATGGGTTCACTTTAGCTTTGACACGTTTCCTCGGCTACATTTCGTTTCCTGTAAAGCTAGTGTGCACACAGAGAGCAGCCTCCACCTTGATGAGCTCACCTATTTCATCAATTCATTTGAAAGAGCAGTCCTGTTATGCTTAGCTTGTTGAATTGTATCCGGTGCCCTCCAGTTCCTTGAAGGGCTCTCTTTTTAGCTCGACTGAAATGGTCCCCAGACTTATCTATTGTACACCTGCTCACACAGTTTCTGTGTATTGTGCTGTATTACAGTGCTGCTTAGACTGATCTTGTTGAAGCCCTCATCAGGTTTACACAGTCTAGTAAGTGCCAGAGGGTCAAGTTATTACATAAAGGGTCAGGTCAGTGGTAGCTAGTCAGAAGTATGTAGCCATGCGGATCATTTTGGTTTTATGTGCGTATGTTTACACCACTGAATCTTCTGCTGCTAATCCAATACAGTGGAAGTTAATCATTTGTTCAGCTGAAAACAAACATGTATAGGCAAAGTGTATTTCCAGAAACAATGCGCTGGAGACCTTGATGTCATTGTTTAAATTAGTTTGATGAGGTCTAATAAAGCCTAATAAGGTCTGTGAATCTGATGTGTTTCGCAGACATTCAGGATTAAATCCTATAATCTCCACAGATAAATACAAAACTATCTACATGGCTAGATACCAGCATAAGTATGTCAGAAAATATGATTTATTGGTGCCACATTTACAGTTACAAAATAGCCATAGCACACCCATGTCTGGTTCACTGTGGCTTAAATACCAGTGTTTTGATATCACTGCTAATGTCTCTCCACATGATCTTCTAAAACATGCCCGAGTATTGCTGTTTGTGCATTGCTGTGTTTGTTGTCAGAAGATTTACTGTATACAATGTGTTAAAAAGAAACAAAGAAAGTACATATTTATTAAATGCAATACAATGTCTGTATATGGGCTTTATCGGATTATAATGAACAGAAAGATAAAAATGTGCCATTGGAAATAAATATATTTTTTAGTTTTTTCTGTCTTCTCAAATTGTCACCTGGTATAATTAATTTATTGCGTATTAAAAATATTATATTTTGCATCCCATGTGCCTCATGTATATTTTCACATTTGACATTTTCATACAAAAGTCAGTTTCTGTGGTTAGCGCTGGTGCCTCGTTTGTCACTTGGCCTTTAAACAAATGTTTTGAAATTAAATCTAAGCAACACTTGAAAGTCCATGTGTACTTTGTAATAGTTTTGGCTGCTGTTACTTATTTCCTTTACTGGTCATGAAAAGATCCCTTCTTAATGTGACTTTGATGGCAGAGCTGGAGAACAGTCCTCATTCTGTGCAGAGATGCATTACGTTTAGCAGAACATGAGGCTAAAAAGATCCCTCTCTATCCCTCCACCACAGCTTAGAGATGTTCTGGCAGAACACAGAGGGACATTTAATAACCTGATACCAGCTTTCAGCTGACCTCAAAACTCTTTCATAGCTTTCCACAAAAAGGTTAGATTTCAATCATGCGCTGCAGGATCTTATGTCAATGTTGAATCGGCTCAGGATATACTGTGTTCACGGATCATTAGTGTGAGATATTTGACAGCTAACTGTCAAATGTAGAACTAGCCTTCAACAAAATCACAGCCTGAAGTCACAGGTGTCAATATTCCTGTTAATGAGCTTTGAGGCTGTGTGATTCTGCTTGCTGGCTCACTTGAATACAATCATTGTTAAGGTTATCTGTTCATTTCAGTGAATATAGTAATGATCTATTAAAAACAAGTGTTAAGACAATGAAGGAAACAGCCAGTAAAAGTTTGCATTTTATTGGTAAACAAAAAACAACATTGAAGACCTACAGGCCACCTCAGTCAGCGGTTCAAACATTAAAAAAAAAAAAAGAGAAGTAATCTGGCAAGTGAGGCTAACAGTCGACATGTGTCACTACTCTAAAAGGCTCACTCGTTTTGCGTCGGACTATGATATTGATTAGCTTCACAGGTTCTTGAATTGGCAAAAAACGTCATACTTAAAGCTACAGGAATGTGACACACAATAAGGAATATCTTGTCAAGAGCTTAAGAAGCAGTATGACCCTCAGCCTGATAGATGCAGAATTGAGTAATTTGTTTTGTAAAATAAACATTACCACCCATGTCAAGGTTTGACATCACAACCCAGGATTTCTTTATAAAAGAAACCTCCAAAATGTTATATTGTAATCAAATACAATTACAATTACATCGCTAAGAAGAAATGAAAACCAAAAAACAAACTCGACAATCCCGACTCCAGATAATACATAAGGGTGTTTATAGAACAAAGACAAAAAGCTTTAAGGCCGTGGGGAGAAGCAGGGTGTTCAGGTGATCATGACAGCGGAATGTATGTAGAAAGAAATAATGATGTATCATACGAGGAGGCCTGGGGTTAAAAAAAAAAAAAGATAAAAAGAAGAATTACAAAACATTTCCCCCCAATTCCTCTATAAATGGCAGGCCTTTCTACCGGTAATGACGTGGGGGTGGGCTATGCTGTGGCGGGTGCCTCCTTGGGGGTGGACTATGGCGCGACATAGTATTGCGTGGAGGAGACTGGTAGCGTGCAGGGGGAGATCCTCTGTTATGAAAGGGAGGCGGCGAAAAGCGACCTCTGGATCTGGAGCGGGATCTGGAGCGGGAGCGAGAACGGGAACGTGACCGATTAAAGTTTGGGGTGCCCCTCTCCTCAAAAACGCGGATGTACGCAGTCTCGCCCTACAAAAAGAAAACAAATATATTTAGAAAATGTTTTCCTTTCGCCACCTGAAAAAAGGTACAAGAACAATTAAATCTCATCATCACTGGAACTCACTTGATGTGACCGGAACTCGGTCCGATCCAGTCTGCGTAGAGCGTACTCCATGTCCTCTCTGCGAAGAAACTCCACCACGCCCTCTCCATCACGCTGCACATCTGCAAAACAAACGTCTCCTGCTTCGCGCATGTGATCCTTCAGATCCTGCCAGCTCCCAGTTGGTGGTAACCCTGGAATGGGGAAAAAGGCAAAACTTAGTTGCTTGCTTTAAATTTCCTGGCACTTGCAAATTATTGCAGGGTCAAGTTCACCTTCACTAGTAGGTTTTAAGGCATCTTTACAAAGTATACACTCAACAGTAATTTAAATTGAAAAGCTCAAATTAAAATATTGGTCGATTGCTTCAGCAAACCACAATATTTGTGGATGTTGTACATCCATAAATCTGCTCTATTATGACCGGCCAAGTTAGGCTTCTATACACACACCTTAGACTTAAAGGGGTTGGTCATTCTACAGCTCATATAAACATGCTTGTATAAACACCAGATACATGTAGCATGCAACAAATAGGCCGAAATAATGATATACAAAGACAAAATCACACCTACCGGTCACTATAGTCGGTGTTTGGGATTATGCAGCCAACATGACCGTTTTCAGTTTACTGTTTCGTTTTTTCATGACTTAAGGAGCTGACTTGACCTCATCCACTTAGTCCACCTTGTCCTCCAGTCCGCCATGAGAGAGAGAAACATATCTGCCTACGACTCGTGATGTCTTTTACTAGTCCCTTGTCCTCCAGTCCGCCATGAGAGAGAGTGAGAGAAACATATCTGCCTATGACTCGTGATGTCTTTTACTAGTCCCTTGTCCTCCAGTCCGCCATGAGAGAGAGTGAGAGAAACATATCTGCCTACGACTTGTGATGTCTTTTACTAGTTCCCTTGTCCTCCAGTCCACCATGAGAGAGAGAAACATATCTGCCTACGGCTCATGGTGTCTTCTACTAGTCCCCTTGTCCACCATGAGAGAAACATATCTGCCTACGACTCGTGATGTCCTCTACTAGTCCCTTGTCCTCTTGTCCGCCATGAAAGAGAGAAAAATATCTGCCTATGACTCATGACGTCCTCTACTAGTCCCTTGTCCTCCAGTCCGCTATGAGAGAGAAAGAGGTCTGCCTACGACTCTTACGTCCACCATTCTACTAACCCCTTTGACATCCAGGATGCCACGAAAGAGAGCGACATATGAACTGGCTATGACTCATGACGTCCACCTACCAGTCACCATGACCCGGAATTCAGATCTTCGAGTTGGGGGTCCAAATCTTCCCCTAGGTCCTTCTCCTCCTTCTCCACCTTCTCCTCCACCACCTCTTCCTCCTCCTCTTCCACCTCTTCCTCCTCCTCCCATAGGGCCAAATTTAGCACCAGATGATCGAGGATACTCCACACGTAGCTTGGAGTCTCCATAACCATATCCATTCCTTCCATAGACAGCGTCGTCTGCATCCCTAAGAGAAGAGAGCAAAGAACTCCTTACCAACGTATGCTTGATTCACTAGTGGACATAGACCTGGAAATGCGGTCTCCATCCATTTCCTGCTGCCAGTTACTGGAGATGATATTATACCATATAAACTTAAGTTCTCCAAAAAGGGGGAATGTGATTTGACTTGCCAAAGATCCCCAAAACTCACCGTGGATCTTCAAATCGGACAAAAGCAAAAGGGATAGTGCCTCTATTGTTCTTCAATTCGATGTCACGGACTTTTCCATATTTGTAGAAGAGATCCTCAATGTCTCTCTCCTGGACATCCACGGGAAGATTCCCCACATAGATCCGGCCATCCGACATGGTGGTCGAGAGAGAGCGGTACTGCTGACACAGAACGGGGGCACTTGCAGACTTGATCACTTCTTTCTTTCACAAATAGCGATGGAGGTGGTCCTTAGCTTAATCCTGGTTCCAATCCAAAATTGATTCCTTCTGCTTCCACTTCCTTAATTTAGAAAAAAATGTAAAATCTGAACCAGGGATGCAGACATGAGTAAACGACGAGCTCAAGGCAAATGGCACAGGCCTCTTGGATCCAAGCCTGGAAGCTATAAAACACAGGGTAATGAATGTCCAACCACCTTAAAAAAAAAAAAAACAGTGACAGTATTAAATTGGAACTGCACGCTGCACTGTGTGACGAAAATGTGACTGCAAAGGCCTTAGCAAATGACTCACATCGTCTATACTCATTTACCTGTGTGCCCCAAAGGGAAGCACCTGCTTTTGTTGTGGAATGTTACTCCACTCATTTATTCAGGTATTGTCACCTGAATGTATTCACTTAAAAATATACCAGCATTCAAGTGAGATAAATAACAAGCCTGCTAGTGCCATAGATTTAAGGTAGTACATTTTATGGTTTACCTCATAAATAAAATATGCTAACAATTGCAACACCGAGCTATAGCCTTATATGTTACCATAGATTTTAAGCAACACACCACTGATAATATCCCCGACGAATTCAGATTTTAACTACAATAAATGTATTTACGGCAGGGCGGATTTACTGAATTGCAAACATGGCAGCAAACGACGGTGGTTGCCAGATTTTTAACCTTTGCCGGAGTCTCAAACTGTGTCGAGGCCACGGCTAAACTAGCCCGCAGCTGCCTAGCTCACTATATTTAGCTTTGGTTGCTTGTCTTAACAGTTTCTGCAACGTAGCTACGTCTTTAGTAAGCAACATAAAACATTCAAGCAGAACGGTTCAGCTTGACATTTGTAGCTTGAAAGTTAAAGCCAGTTTAAGACGTGTAACTACGATAGGAGTCTCTTTGTTGGTAATCTAAGGTCAGCTAGCCAGGCTAACGAGTCTGTTTCGGCTAAAACGCCCCAATTGTCCTCACACTCGAAGATAAACTTATTTCGGCAATACACATTCAATGTATTTAGTAAACAGCACTTAAATTAACAAAGTGCGGTTACCTTTCAAAACAAGTAGGGGCTCTTCTTCCGCAAATTGAACGCTAACAGTCCGCACGCTGTGCTACTTCCCTGTTAGTTAGCAACATTAGCCGTTAGCTTGGTGGCTCCTTCTACTTCGTATTTCCGGCAGACAGTAGTGAGGTTTAGTGCATTGCTGCCCTTTGCTGGTAAGAAATGGAACATGTTGCTGGCTTTATATACCAACTCCTAATTATGTCATAAACAAAAGGTTTTAAATCCTAGCTAAGCTGTATAAAAAAGCCTGTTGTAAATTGTAAAACACTGGAGACTATTCAGCATGTTGTACCTACTTCCCTTCTCTGAGCCTCCAGAGCAGCTGCTGAAACAGCATATCAATCAACCACCACAGCGGCCTCAACTCAGGTTGGTCAAAACAAAACAGTGATATCTCATTCGTCTCTGTGGTGTACCTGGATTGGCAGTGTTCTTATCAATGTAAGCCTGCTAGTAATGGCTCCATTAAATCACCTCTCACCTGATGCTTACTCTTCACTTAAATCAAAGAATGCACCATGCTCTTTTCTAATTGTCACACATTCTCACATTCTCTGTCCCAAGACCCTTTAAGTCCTTCACTTCGCCTCTGTGTTGGCTCCGTATTGTTCTGGTTGGTTCTCTATGGAAGTGTAAGGGAAGAGGTCTCTGGGTTGGTTGTTACACAACCAGTTACATAACACTTCTTCTTCTTCTAATTCTACTTCAATCTTTCACAATTGATGTTCGCTGATAAGGAAATAAATTGGAATCGGTTCATTAAGAAATAATGATATAATGATATAATAGTTATTACTGGTAAAACAAAACTAAATGAGCCTAGCAAAACAGTAAAACAATTAGTTTAAAAAACAACAACATCTGCATCAAAAGGGAATATCTAATGCTGTCACAATGAATGTGAAACTAGACAGATGAGAACCACATGATTATCATAATATCTGAATGGAGTAACAAAGGTTGCAAATAGAAATCTCAAATTGTCAAATAAATGGAAATGCAGGGCGTGACATACCATGGATACCGACACATATAATATAGCTAGAGTAGATACAATGCAATTAGCCCTGTAATAAATACGACCTAAGTGAAATATGAAGGCTAATGCATTTGTTTTTGGTTTCAACATCTATGGGGGGTTTCCGAGAGGCTTTGAAGTCCAGAAAACGAGAACGCGCACTAACAGATGCCAGGCAGCGTTATGTAGCACGCGAGGCACGCACCGCCCCGCGAGATGACTTCAACTGCCCAGCGCGCGCTCCTCTCGCACTATCACAGCGAGAGTTCGGGCGAGGCGTTGTCGATCGGTACTCGAAGGCTTGTGTGCGCTATTGCGTTCAGATAAGGAAACCATGTCGTACACGAAGTTTGCAGCGGGTCTTCTCCGGGCAAACCCGGGCAATGTCAGCAAGATACGCGCGTCAAGATGTCGGTCAAGGGCGGCATCCACCAAGAGCCAGGAGGAGAAAGATCAACCGATAGACGGCTGCGCAGTGGTGGAAGCGGTGCCGGTGGCGCTCATCAGCCAGACCAAAAAGATCCAGTTGAATAAGATCCACGTTGACTTCAACAACACGCAGGAAGCCTACAGAAGCAAGGGGAACATGGAGCTGCTCCGAAGTATGCTGGTCTTCAAGCTCTGTACGATTGACATCCTGGTTGAAAAGAACAAAGAGGTGAGTTGGTTGTGTTCAGATGTCAGCCTTTTGATTCAAAGAACAAAACGCATTTTAGAAATATATAACTGCGTAATAGCACGGGCAAGTTCGATCCAGTCCTATTTATAATGGAGTATTATAATGGTATTACCTAACTTGTCATCCTTGCTTTGTTTACAGCTGATGGCTCTGTGCAAGAAGGTGTTCGGTCAGTGGATGTTTGAGAAGCTGATGAAAATGACTTTCTACGGTCAGTTCGTGGCAGGAGAAGATCACAACTGCATCAAGCCTCTCATTAGGAAGAATCAGGCCTTTGGCGTGGGGGCAGTTTTGGACTACAGTGTTGAAGAGGACTTGACACAAGAAGAGGCCGAGAAGAAAGAAATGGAGTGAGGAAATGTTTGTTTTACTGATGCTTTAAAACAGGTGCAGTTAACCAGTTTCAATTTGAATATGTGCCATATGTGCACCGGATGAAGAGACATTTATGAGTTATGCAACTTGCAAAAACTAGACAAGCCAAGCCTTGTTGAGTCAAGTTTATTTGTACAGCCCAGGATCACATGCTCCAAAGCAGTAGGCTATATGACCTCATGCTCTCTAAGCAAGATGCACACTGGGGAAGGTGATGAGGACAAAAGGGGATTTGTTGCTGTATCGTTATAATACATCCACTTTAAGTTATTTAGTACATATTATACAGTTAGCCCCAACAGGTAATTTAGCCTGTGTCTCTATTACATGCCGTCCCTCTCTAAATTATCTCCTGACTCCTTTATTTACACACAGAACAGAGTGTCATGCCAATAGTTTGCTATGTCTCAATTCTTATCTTTTCACTTTTGTTATATCCTCCGTTACGCTTCTTATCAAGTTAATGTGAGTGGTGGAATGTACAGAATGTTTCCTCTCCAGACTGTAATCCAAACCGAATAGAGCCTGCCCTCTATTGGTCGGCTGGGAGAACCCCCTCTCCTCTGATTGGTCGAGCAGGGGGATGTACCTCCTGAAAAGGCTGCCAGCCTTTTAGAGTTATGTGTTTGGTCCCTTCATGGGGCACAAACACATAAGTGTTGCGCAATGTTCTGAGGAGGAAATGAGCTCAGTTTTATGAACCACGGATCCTCTCACGAGGCACAAACATACACATGCTGAACTAAATCCAAACATAAGTTTGTTTATGATCAAACGATCTTCATCGAGACCAAACTTACTGAAAGAAAGGAACGTTAGGTCCGTGGAGAAGACAACTCAGTGAACACAGTAGTTTTCTTTGCTCCCCTGAAGCATCTCTCTGTCCAAGCACGTCTAGAAAAGGAGATCATTATCGTAACTGAATAACAAGGTCACAGCAAGACTGGTTAAAATGACATTGGCCTCTTCTCAACACATGTTTTCTGTCTTTTTCATCCTTTAAAATGGTCTTCTTAAACCTATTTTAAGTAGATGCATTTTGTTTTCGCTGCTCTCCTCTGATGAATATCTCTTCTTCTTTTTCAGTGCATGTGTTTCTGAAGCAGAGAAAGAAAGTCCAGGTAATGTAATGTAGTCTTAACTGTTGCACAAACAGCCACTGCATGCTTCATTGACCAAAGATTTTTCGGTTGCTTGAGCTCGGGCCGGAATGCAACACAAGTCTAGTCAAGTGTCAGTGTCCGTATGTCTCGTCGTGTGGTCGTGTGGTCCGCCCCAGAGAGTACTGGTTGTATCTGGTTTTAGTGGGGTCTGAAATGTCCAATCCAATGGGTGAAGTGAAGAGACGCTCTGTTCATGTTACGTGGTTGATGTTTATAACTCGAGCGTGTTATTCTCTTACTCGTGCTTTCTATGAAACATGTAACGTAATAATGTATCAACTGCATGTTCCTACGAGCCATTTGTGCTTGTGGTAGATTTATTCTGGCATAAATAAATAAATGTAAAGTACTCAAAACAAAAGCGTGCAGGATTGAAATACTTCTGTTCCTCTTTTGACTGCAGCTGCTGATCATCGCGAGAAGAAGTACAAGGCCCATCATCAGTTCGGGGACAGGCGTGGAGGGGTCACCAGCGCTCGTACCTACTTCTACGCAGATGAGTCCAAATGTGACAACCAAATGGAGACATTCATAAACTGCATTCGAGCCTCTGGTGAGTAGTAGAGAGGAAGTGAAAGAAATGATCATTATAAGTGATACTATAACACTAATACGTCCGTGTAATAAAGATCAACGAGTGACATAAAATGTGTTATTATTTTCAGGGGGAGCCTCAACAGATGGATTTTCTGCCATCAAATTGACTGCTCTCGGACGCCCTCGGTTCCTTGTAAGTTTAACTTTATGTCTTCAATATCAACTGAATGTGATTATTTCAGTATTTAGATAACGGTGTGAAGGGCTTAGGTTGGCAATCACATCGCTTCGACTTCTACCACAAACAAATCATTCGCCATTTTTTACAGCTTAATGGGCACAATAAACCGGCCGTTTATTTATCTTTTTATGGTTTTGAGTCAATGCCAGTTGATTAATCACAGGTTCACATAATTGTGTTATCACTGATGTGTCAGGTCACAGCGTGAGGACACAAATGAAAAGTATGTGCCAACTGACAGTGAGCAAGAGATCGTTTGTGAATAAAACACTGATATGTGTCTGAATATGATTCAAATATTATAATTGCATCGCTGATTAATTGTTCTGTGTTTGAACAGCTCCAGTTTTCAGAAGTCCTGGTTAAATGGAGACAGTTTTTTAACTTCCTCGCAGCGCAGCAGGGGAAATCTGACGTGATGGTTCTGGAACAAAAGCTGGAGCTGAAACAACTCCAGGTATGTCTTCAGCGAGTCTCATGCACACGCATCCACAGCTGGTGTCCTCATCTATTGTTTATCTTCTTTAGTTGTGTTCAAGCCGTCATGACTTTAAATGTCATGTCTTTTGTTAAAGCAACAATCTGTTTTTAATCACTGAAATATGTATTTGCAGGAGAGCTTGACTGAGATGAGTATTGGAGCGATGTACGACAAAGAGAATTGGTTTACTGGAGAGAAGCTGGGTTTGTCAGGGTGAGAGAGTCACACATTACTGCAATCATGATATTAATAGCACAACAATACAGTTAGGTTCTTGAACCTCTCTTTAGTCAGTAGGAAAACACTGTGTTAACATATTTTAATATACATTTTCTCACATCTTATTGGCAGAACGATCAATCTGCTGGACTGGAACAGTTTAATAAACGACACAACGAAAATCTCCAATCTGCTCATGGTGCCGAACCTTCAGGTGAGTCGTGTGAATATGAAGCCTCTGGCCGAGTCCCTCGTGTTGCTCTCAACCCCTATGTGTCACATTACTGATTACAGGTTTATCCCGGTCGTAACGATGAAAAACAGTTTGATGTTTTGTGTGTTGGTTGCGCAGACAGGCCACCTGGAGCCTTTGTTGAACACGTTTACAGCCGAGGAGGGGAGGCAGATGAAGAGGATGCTACAAAGAGTGGACGTTCTGGCCAAGGTAAAGATACTCAAAGACAATAAACGTGCATCGAGTAAACGGAGGCAATCTAAATCCAATTTATTGCAATTGCAAACTTGGTTCAAGGGAATCAAAATAACCAGAACTGAATTGTGTTTGCTTAAGTGATGAACCCCTGTTTGTCTTGCACGTTAACGACGTGTCCCTTATAAAACCATGTGCTCTGTTTGTGCTCACCAGCACGCCATGGAGAACGGGGTTAGGCTAATGGTGGACGCCGAGCAGACGTACTTTCAACCGGCTATTAGCCGACTGGCTCTGGAAATGCAGAGGAAATTCAACAGAGAAAAGCCAATTGTTTTCAACACGTACCAGTGTTACCTCAAGGTGAGACTTCAGCTGAATTACTTTTACTGTTGATTATATATCCACAAATCCTTCCTGTTTGTCTCAACTGTGAAACCAAAATTATATTTTTTGTCACACTTTATGCTGTGTTGTTGCTACTTATCATTATATAATACAGATTTTTAAAAAAGCCTGAAGAGATGTCAATAAAAGCGCCTCAGTAAAGCTGAATAATACTTTATACGGAGACGTCACAGGTGGCTCTCGAAATTTCACGTTTTGATCATTTTCTTGATTATTTAGGAACATTTGTTCGCCATTTAAATCTTGTTGATGTACCCATAGACTTGAGCACCCTGACCTCTAAGGATTGTTGGGTTTTAGTCGTGTCGTTTTTTTTTTTTTTCTCCCATTAGGACGCCTACGACAATTTAACTGTGGATGTTGAGCTGTCACGGCGGGAGGGCTGGTACTTTGGTGCCAAACTGGTTCGTGGAGCCTACATGTACCAAGAGAGGGACAGGGCCAAAGAGATCGGCTACGAAGACCCAATAAACCCGGACTATGAGGCCACCAACAGGATGTATCACAAGTACGTTTTCAATCATTATTAAGGCCGCTCGTGACTTTGCTAGACAACGTCTGAATCCTAACAATCTGCCTCGATGTTTGTCCAGGTGTTTGGAGTACGTGCTGGAGGAGATCGAACACAGCGGGAAAGCAAATATCATGGTTGCAACTCACAACGAGGACACCGTGAAAATCACCCTCGAAAAGTATGTTTCCTCTCAGGCCTGCATGAAAAATCCTAAGCCCATTTGTTATGTGCAGTGCTAAGGGCAGATTTAATTTGAACATACACGAAAGCCTTAAAACCTCTTGTTCACAAAGGATTAATCTTCACGGTTTAAACTAATGCCGAGGATGAGGATGTGAAACGTAGTCTTTGTCAGCAATTATAGGATTTACAGAATGAGCTTGCGAAATCAATGGTGAAATACTACACTCGTATTATGTAACAACCCTTTGACGTGTATTTTTTCTCTCTGTTTTCCCAGGATGAATGAGATGGGTCTTTCACCCACAGAGAATAAAGTTTACTTCGGACAGCTGCTGGGCATGTGTGACCAGATTAGCTTCCCGCTAGGCATGTTGCACTCAGCATGGTTACTAAAAGTAAACAGTATGTTATGGAATCAGAGACTTGCGTCACATGGTCACGTGGCCAAAGAGGTTCCACTGAAACGTAGTTCTTTTAACACTCAAGGTCCCTGACGTCACAGATCACCTCTCCAGTCTAAAGATATATTGGGAACAAATAACTTCAGGTTCTCAATGTCCTTAACTGTCTCATTACCAAATGTTATGTCACTTTGGTTCAGAGCAGAAACACATCGCTACCCAAATACGTAGGTTAGGGGTACACATTTAAGAAAATAGTCTTTGAGTTGTACACAAATAACATTTACTCAACAAAGAAAACCTCACACACATCTCTTTGCACGACAAAGACAGTTTATGCAAGTGAGATACAGAAAAGTAATAACTGAGGGGCTGCTTAGTCAGTGTTAAGGGCACTGAGCTTTCGTTTCTAAAAAAGTGTTGCAGTTTAAATAATTGTGCAATGATCTATATGATCTAAATATGAAATGAAGGTAAATGACTAATGCTGTAGCCGCCCTAACCTTCCTTCCACTGGTGACACGTATAAAGGCTGGGTTAACCTTGTCCTATCACTTGATATGTAGTATCAAAACCACAAAAAAGATTATATTTTAATCTACTGCACCTTTATTTCAATTGAACATTGAGTCCGTTTCTACAGCTTTTTTTTTTTTACCCCAAGGTTAGCTTAGAAAGCTATTGTCAGCTTAGAGAATATGTTAGACATTAAGTACAAAGTCATGACATGGCACGCACAGTGATTCCAAACACGTCTGCTTGCTCTTTGTTGAAAACAGGTCAAGCAGGTTACCCCGTCTACAAGTACGTTCCATATGGCCCAGTCAACGAGGTCATTCCTTATTTGTCTCGCCGTGCTCAAGAGAACCGTGGCTTCATGAAGGGATCCCAGAGAGAGCGCAGCCTGCTGTGGACGGAGCTCAAACGCAGAGTGCTGTGCGGACAGGTTTTCTACAAGCCCGTCTACTGAGTCACAGGACCACAACATTACTAACTGTAGTGGATCTGTACGTATTCCACCGGCTTTGCCTCCTTACTGTACAGTGTGTAGGGTAACATTCATGTCCCTCCTCGGCTTGTCGGGCTGGGAGGTGAGGATTTATGTTGGCCTCAAAATAAGAATTAGTTTATTTAACTAAAATAATGGGATCGTAATCCTCAGAATCAACTAAACACACTTTGCACTTTTTTCAAAAGAACTACAAATGTTCTCTTAACAGCAATCCTCTTTGATATACAGTACGCCGTTGTTCTGTAGAGCCTAAGAAAAGTATATTATGAATGTATGTTTACCAAAGGTGACGTGCGTGTATTTCAGAAGTCCTGAAATAGGTCCCTTGTTTGTTGATGGTAAAGGACCGCTCTTTGTATGTTTTGTTTGGTGTTTATCTCACATGTAGCTGTCACCCAAAAGTGCCTTATGATTGTTTTCACAAGATAAACATGGAAGCAATCAGCGACTGTACAACTAAGTTTTGTTTTTTGTAACTGTTCACTCCTCCGAGGGGATCGTACCCTGTTTTAGCTTATTTATTGATGATGTCAAGTAATAATCAGTTCACTGGCTAATTTATTTGCAGCACAGTGATTTTGATAAACAGCACAAACAAGGTGATCCTCTTTTTGATCTCTCGTGACGAATTGTAAACTGTCCATGTTTATGTGCTAAGGACATGTGGAAACTATACCTGTAGCGTGGAAGTGACTGTTTGCTGACCTTCATTTTTGCCCTCTGACACAAAGTACTCCAGGAATACCTGCACTGTTGTACAAACTGTTGGAGGACACGCTGCCTGTCAGTTCAATTGAATGAAAGTTCAATTGAGTTGAATGAAAGTCGTGGATAATGTCTTTTAAATGGAAATGTTTTTTAGCACTGGAAATGAAAACTGGAAAATGCCCTTTTTAAAAGTCCTAAAATTGAAAACTATTTTTAACAGTGTTGGTTTGTGTGGTCTAAGCTCTTTGTTCTAACATGGAAAGTTTGATTTTAGAAAACAGAAGGCTTAAATTGGAGTGTCTCTCACCTTATATATACTATATACACCTTGTATATTATGAGGTTTGTTAGCACTGATTAATTTAAATACATTTCCTAATGTTTTTCTTTGTGTTTGATTTCCTCATCACTACTGATTAAGTATAACACAGTATATTTTGTACAGTTGTAAAATACATGTAATCATTTAACACAATCAAATACAGTTAACATTAAAATAACTATTGTTGCAGCTGTGGATGTTGGAAGTGGACATTTACTTAATATCTGAAGTTGTTGGGGAAGGATCTTTGAAAACTCAAAAGTTACACCTCATGACTGACAACGTTTTTAAACACTTATAACAACATTTATATTGTTGCCTAAAAGATACACAAACTCCAGCTTGTGCCATTGTTGGCCTTGTTTACTATAGCACCCCAGAATGGATAGATAGCGACCCTGATGTTATCTCGTAGTGACACAAATCCTGTTGTCCTCGCTGACGTCAATGACAACAACTACAACCATTGCACACAGAAGCTCGTGGGCTCCCTTTGCCAAATCGATGTGACCTAAAATAAGCGATGATTCAGCCAAAGTCCACATCAGCTGAGGCAGCACCTGGGTCCAGGTATCTGGAGACTAAAAAAGTGCTCTCTGTACAGCTAGATGTTATTATTATTTTAGTTATGACATCTTGAATGTGTTCCAAGATGTGCAGTACATAATGTATGTATTGCTGTGGCACTGTCATCATATGTTATACATTTAATACATTCAAACTCCGTATATTGGTATTTTATTTCACGCACACACACTACATGTTTTAGCTACATAATTGTAAATACTGCAGTTTATAAATATGTTGTTTCACATGTATGCAATCACCCAGCCATCTTACTGAGTACACAGAACATTGTAACAAAAATGACATTTTTCAATGGATAGACCAGTGTTCTTATCAAAATTCTCAAAAACAATGAAAAAAAAAGATGTTCATCATTACGCCCTCCATATCTGCATTCTTTGATCTGCTGCTGGAGTTAAGACGGTCAAATGCAGCATGGAAATATCGTCGCAATGGCAAATAAACATCAGTACAACTACTCTGTGCCAACTCTGAATACATCAAATAGCCTAATTACTACACACTTAAGTATACTTTCGGAAGATACAGACCTGCTTGATTTTGTAAGATGATTTGTCACCCTACACTCTGTTAGAACAGATATGTCTTCAACAGCAGCCTATTTCACAAACCACTTCAGCCCCTGTGGGAGGAGAATGTACATCTGACTTCTTTCACTCCTCACAGCCAATGAGATATGACCTCAGGGAGTGTGCACAGCATGTGGAACAATAGAGGCTTTTCTTTCACCATTGTGGATAATCCTCACTCCCACACTGCTAATGCTGTCATCTGCAGGTAAATAAATCTCTTTACTTGGAAATTCTTCCAGACAGACATGCACACGTTGTATCATTCTTTGATTTACCATGACATTATATTTTAGAATAATAGGTCAACAGAATTGTTAAAGTTAAAACATGTTAAACATAGGCTTTAATCAAGTTCTCTCCCCCCCCCCCCTCATGTATTACAACTACTCTAACAGGCATACATATATGTATGATAGTTATTCTCATCAAATGTGACAAATGGACGACAGATGATTATTAATGTTAAAGATAAGAAGTCAGAGCTGGTATGCACAGAGACACTCTACAAGACATGTAATCATCTGTCCAGTGTCAACCGGAGGAATCTATTATGATATTTAGCCATTGTTCTAAACCTAAACTTTGTTTCTCATGTAAATGTCTCTTTTATCTTTCCAAATCTGCTGAGTGTTGTGAAAGGAATTTCAGTACTATAAACATGTTTAAAGTGTAAACATGGGGGCTCTGAGTGGTTTTTTGAGCAGCAGTTTTATTGCTGATCTGTATTAGCGCTTCTTTACGTCATTTCGTTTCTCTATAGTTTATCATAAAGATATCAAGTAATTTTGTTTGTAGTTTTGATTTATTTATTTATTTATTTCGTAGTGATTTTAAGCCAAAAGATATTTTTAGTATACCTAACTAAACACTTTTGTTGCCTAAACCCATAGACTGTATAGCAGCCTAAACCCAACAGTGGTTTTGTCGTGTTGCTTTTGTTTTGTGTTGTCATCCGAAACATAATTGAGAGCGCAGGTTAGTTGTATGGGAACGTAATATTGTAGGAGGCAGGGCTGCAGCAAGGTGTGTCTCACACCTGAACCTCCTGTGATGTTTTCCTCTGTACATGCATGCTCTCTTATTGCATCTTCAGGTTAACGTTTGGGTGTTAAATGATGTCTGGCATCAAAGGAAAGAAGTGCGCATTTGTGATACGAAGGCTGATTCTCTGGGTTTTATTGACCAACATCATACTGGTGCTGTATTGCTTGACGAACTCAAGCCAAGGAAAGAACAGGTAAAACAATTTAAAAGGAAAGCATTATTTTATTGAGTTTAGTCAGTTGATCTGTTTGCTCATCCTTATATTTTATTCACAGGGGCTCCCAGCAAAGCACGTGTGCTCTCAGTGTGGCAGAACTGTTGAAGAAAAATGTGAGCATGCCTTCTCAAAGCACCAAGTCACAAGGGTGCTCCCCCAAAGTAAACATCATGTTCATGAAGACCCATAAAACTGCTAGCAGCACGATACTCAACATCCTCTTCCGATTTGGAGAAAAGCACAAGCTGAAATTCGCCCTGCCCGATGGGCGCAACGACTTCTTCTACCCATCGCCTTTCCTGTGCTCCCAGGTGAAGGACTACAGGCTTGGAGACTGTTTCAACATCGTGTGCAACCACATGCGCTTTGACCATCGGGAAGTGGCCAAGCTCCTGCCTCCGGATGCCGTGTACATCACCATCTTACGCGATCCGGTGGCTCTCTTTGAGTCGTCCTTCCATTATTATCACAGGGCAGTTCCTCTCACCTGGAGGATCGATGGAGAGAACAAACTGGCAGAGTTTCTGAACAATCCTCAGAGCTTCTACAGCGCAGACGCTTTCAACTCATTCTACCTCAGAAATATGCTCTTTTTTGACTTTGGTTTGGACAACAACTTGGAGGCCGATGATCCTCATGTAATAAGGGATATTCATAACTTGTCGAAGCGTTTTGATCTCGTGCTCTTCGCAGAATATTTCGAGGAGTCTCTTGTCCTGCTGAAGGACACGCTGTGTTGGACCACGGAGGACATCCTGTATTTCAAACTCAATGCTCGCAGGAGCTCCTCTGTGTCTCATCTGACCCCTGAGTTGAGAGCCAGAGCTTTACAGTGGAACGGGGCAGACTGGAGGCTCTACCAGCACTTTAATGCTACCTTCTGGGCCAGAGTGGAGGCTTATGGGAGAGACAGAATGAAGCAGGAGGTTAATGAGCTGAGGAGAAGAAATTCTGAGATGAGGGACATCTGTATCGAGGACGGAGGTGCAGTTGAGGCCCATAAGATTCAAGACGCACGTTTCCTGCCCTGGCAGCCAGTAGGAGAGTCTTCCATCCTGGGGTACAACATGAGGAAAAATATTGATCCAAACTTCAGGACAATCTGTGAGAAAATGCTCACGCCTGAAATACAATACTTGTCAGACCTGGGCATAAACCTGTGGCTTACTAAACTATGGGGTTGGTTAAAAGATGCTGTTTTTATTGTTTGACTTGGATTAAAACATTTAGAACTAGAATATAGCAATTTATCCTGAAACACGTGTTGTGATGTCTTTCAGTTTTCTTCTGAATAATGCATCCATAATAATTCATATTTGTAAACTAAAAGGTAAATTCTTCTTTTGCTTCATGGAATGTGTTACATTCAGGATTTTTTTTTGTGCCAATCCCAAATAGGCCTACAGATGGGTAAATGTTCTCGATACCTCCTCTCATCATCTGTTGCCTGTTAATTGCTTTTTGCGTTGTATTTTTAAACATCGTGCACGGCAAATGCTAAAACTCTGTTTCACACTTAAACATGTGGACAATAAGACTCCTAGATGTTGTTCTGGTTGCTACTCGACTTCTTGGTAAAATTTGCATGGTGAATGTTTTTAGCATTATTGTGCAAAGCTAATTTGCTTAATTGTCCACTGCCAGCACCTGATGCTTTTTAACCTACATTAATCAAAGCAAGGTGTGACGTCATACACTGAGCCATCAGTGGTTGTTATCATGATGTTGACACGAAGAGTTTTCAGTGGGACAGACGGTGCTAGGGTGCTCCCTAGAGGCCTGAGTGTCGGTGCAGTTGTATGCAATGAATTTGAATTGTAGTGGCCTTGTATGACCCTGTCATAACATCCATTGGCAGTAATGATGGTTTGACAAGGCATGAAAAGCTAATTATTATTTTTGCGTTGATTTTTACTTTAATTTAGGCATTACAAAATGATGAATCAGTTTTAATATTATGTTTGGTGAAAGGTGGCAGCTATTGTTTGTAGATTAGACTACTTTCTGCTGATTTGATCAGAATCCTTATAACTGGTGGCCTTGGATCTTTAGCACCACGTTTTACAGTGTAATCCGAGTAAGAGCTTCATTATTTTATTTCAACTAACTATTGCGTTTTCATGACAATATTTGTGGCACTTCCTCGTTGACAGTGTTGTGTGTTGTTAAAAAGTTAAATCTTAAGTAAACATTTTGTACTACCATGTCATTTACAAGTGCCTTCATTATTTCAAGTGTTGATTGTAAAAATAAATATTTGCATTTGATGCATTTAGAATCCATCTAGAACCAAGATGCTCTTTCCTGTTATAGTGAAAATATAAGTTATCCGTGGTCTAAAAGTAGGTTTCATCCAGAAGCTAATACACAGGCACACATTGGAGAGACTCTGTGTACAGCACTTAGTGCATAAGAATGATCATTTACTTTACGGAAGGCTTGTCTGTCAATATCAATATGATGCTCTTTGTAAATACCAGTAAGTCAAACAAAAGTAAAATCATTTGATAATGCAATCTGCTTCGACCCATGCATACCGTATTAGGTATAACAAATCAAAACACTGCTAGATCTGTATGACATTAACACTTTTAATTTAACAATTTACAATCTGTGAGGAGAACGAATGCTTTGCACATAACAGCAGGAAGAGGAGGACGAGGTGACAGGAACCATTGCTCCTTCTTCGTGGCGGTCTGGACAGTCAATCAGCTCCCGCAGGTCGGTTGACTTGAAGCACATTGTCCATGTTGACCGATGTTTGATTCAGATAACGTTATGGAGTCCAGGAAGAATGGCTAATGGAAGTGTGACAACAGTTGCACTTCAGCCTTAGGTGACCCTGCGGCGTCCTATTATTCCTCTTTGATCTCGTAGTGGTGTTGGATGTCTTTCCACAGTTTCTGTAATACAGCATTAATTAAATAACGTTAGGTATTTCATATGAACAGATAGGTTGTCTCCACAAACAAGAGTTGAAAACAGACGATGCTCGACTATGCAAGCTAGCTTAGCTTAGCTAACGTTAGCGCCGCTTCGCCCTCTGCTTACAAGGTCAGGATTAAACAAGCTTTAAATCCCCAAAAGGACACACTTACCCCGCGATTCATTGACTCAAAAATCGCGTCGCCACCTTGGTCAAAGAGTCGTTCAAAGAAGACCGCTCCAACCATGATGGTTATGGCGAAAGTGGACGTTCTCCTGAAGAGCAGATTGTAGACGGACTTAGCCAGCGCCATGTCGGTGGATTGACGTACTGCGCAGGACCGGAAGCTGCTGTGACGCGCTTTGCCTGCCCTCTTCCGGTCCTTAAGTTATTTGGTAGTGGGATGTCCTTTATCTTTTTCACACCAACGTAGTGCGCGTGGTCCTTCAAATCAAACACAGAGGAGGACAGCACTGTTTCGCCAATGGTTTGTGCTCGTTGCTGTTTAAATTCAATATACGTACGTATTTAAATCAAACGTGCATTGATGTAATAATAAGCATGTAAGCTAACGTTAACTATCCAGATTTAACAACGCTACGGACACATATTTAAGGAAGTTAACGCTTGCTCCGCTGGATTATCTGGGAGAGTATTTGTTCGAACTGCTCGTTTACATGCTGAGTATGTTTCTAAATCGTGTTGTACCTTTCTATCATCAGAGTAGAAATGGAAGTCACACCGAAGCACATTCAAAACATAAGCACCGTCACTACTGAACCAGTAGGTGGCAGCAACCAGCTTCTGTAGATATGAGGCCGTTTTATATAATTGTAAATTCAATATTTAATTATCTTTGGTTTGTAGACTGTTGGGCAGACAAAACAAAGTAGAATACAAATATGACGCCTTTGACTATGGGAATTTATGTTCTGCATGTTTGACTATTTCTAGATAAAACTATAGATCCATAATCTAGCAGAACAATAATCAAGCACACAATTGATGATAGTACAGATACACAGTATGGATTTTCATTTTAAAGAAAAACTCTAGTGTTGACGGTGCTTATGTGAATGTATTTTTGTTTCTGTTCTCTGTCTTTCAGCCATTTAAAAGGCGACATCTTGCTGTTTTGAGCACATAGCCGGAACCATGGGGAAGAGATACTACTGTGACTACTGTGACCGGTCCTTTCAGGACAACATGCACAACCGGAAAAAACATCTCAACGGTGTCCAGCATCACAGAGCTAAGAAGGCCTGGTATGACTACTTCAGAGGTGAGACCGTAGACCTCTGAGATCTGCTCACAATGGAAATATTTTAGCGTCATTATTTTTTTTTTGTTGACAAATTTAAAAGTTGTTTAGGTCTTAAACCTATCTATGAGATTTTGATTGGAGAATTTGCATGCTTATATTTGTTTTGCCATCTTGGCTGCTCACTTTATGATGGAAGATTATATAAATAACCAAAGACAACATTACCATTTTTTTTTTTAGACTCTTCAGCCATCCTGTGCGATGAGCAAACAAAGAAACCCTGCAGGAAATTTCTCCAAAAAGGTAACGGAACAGTTTGAATTTACATTCATCCAACAATGCAGGAATCTATATTAAACGCCCTTTTGTAATAATCACTTTCCCTGGCTTTTCGTGTCTTTTAGGAATTTGTGATTTTGGCCCTAACTGCAGGTTTTCTCACATGTCCGAAGAGGATCTGTTTATCTTAAAAAGACAGGCGGAAGGTAAGCTCTAACCAAAGGGTGGTGCTGTCTACCAAAGCAATATCCCACATGTTAAACGCACACAACATTTGCCAATATAAATAGTGTTATCTAAACGATTTATTAATAATGAGGTTAACATTCAACACTGCACTCACAGGTGTCACACAATATCAACACGGTCCAGATTAATAGCTGGAATGTAATGCAGCAGAGGGTTTAGCATGCCAAGTACCTTGGGTTAGCACGTCCTCCAGCATGTCTTAAAACAATATGTAATAGTAGTCGAGTACAAATTGTATTGTGTTGATATGTTGATGACAGGAGTGATATTTCATGTCTTTCAGATGAAAGGCGGCACAGAGAGGACTATGTAGACAGAAAGATGCCTGGGCGAAGTATAGAAGAGTGGCTCTCCAGAAGGGAGAAGAAGCAAACTGCCGTCGGTAGCAAAGGGTACGCTCTTTCATTTTTGTTTCAACGCTTATTCAGACATGTTTAGCATTTCTAATGGTTATTCTCGTTGATATATAGAATTCACCCGTTCCATTATTCATCCCTGCAGAGATCTAAAAGATAAGGACGACAGCGAAGAGGGCCAAGAAGAAAGTGACGTACCTCAACATCTCCTCTCCATCCCCGACCTCCCACCCTCTCTCCTGCCTCCTCCTCCAGGCGGATGGAGAGTCAAAGTGAACACAGAATGGGGTTGAAAGATATTCACTTTGTGCTTCATATCACTATGACGTGGGTGTGCCACATTAATAGGAGGAGGAATGGTTCAGAATACATATGTTATAAAGAGATGGTGTCACGTTTGTAATTGGCAGTTTGAAGGGAGGTTTGAAATAAATATAAAAATTAGGATAAAAACACTTTTAATGCCGTATAGTTTAGGTCATGTTTTGTTGAACTATCAATTAAAAACTTTTCTTAAATCCTTGAACAAAAAAATGGATTAAGTTTCATCAGGACATTTTTTATATAGAAAGTTTGTTTGTTGTCATTGAACCATCATGCAGATCCCTTGGATTTGTTATGAATGTATCATCATTTTTATTCGCCTGTTTAAGTCCTTGATTAGGTTATTCCTCATAATATGGGATTAAGCTGAAATGTGTATACCTAATCTAATTTGTTGCTTACAGCAGAAGCCTCATTAAATTGCTTTGAGTTTTTTCTTCTATTTTGTCTAACTCTTCTTCTGCTGTCTTGGCCAAAATACGTCAACATCTTTATGTTTGACTTCCTGTTTTGTTTACGTCACACACAAGGACACGGGAACATCCAGTTGGTTTCAGACTGGTCTGCTCATTGGTGGGAGTAACAAGCCAACAAAGAAAGTGAAGGAAAAGTCTGATTTAAAGCAAGCTATGAATTATTTCACTAACTTAAAAATTGGCTTTGCAAATATTAAATGAGGAGGTAAAAGCACGTTACCAACCCCTGCATGGGTAAACAAACCTCGCTCTAGAGTCAGAAGGAGTGCAGCAACCATAAACACGACGACACACGTGAATTCAGTTAACTGAATTCACGCGTTACTCACGCGTGCTTAACATGTCTGACGCTGCACTGTGAGGGCCATTACACCATCAGATCCTGACATTTCGCCCCTGATGAAGTGTTTCATGGAGAAAGAATTCAGAATTTCAGTTTGTTTTCCTGTGTACCCTAAAAAGCAGACCCTTCAAGATCTGATCCTCTTTTCTTAACCCCTGTACTTGAATGTCCACAATAAATGTTTGTTTTTTGATATTTGTCTTATTCAGCTTTTATTTGCAATCAATGTCACGTTTTGGAAACAGAACAAACAAATAGCAAACTCCTTTTTAATGCCTTAGTTTTTATTGGATTACATGCATCTAGACACCGCTTACATTAGTGTACAATAGATGCATTAACCTCTAAATGTGCATTAACAGCTACAGAAATGAAACAGCGCCGGCTATTCCCAAACTAGACAATACGATTACGAGTAATGTCACACAGCAGGATGATACAAATGGTAAGAGGAAGGTTAGAGGGACCTTTATCAGGGAGAGAGAACGATAATACATTAATGCTTATTGGTACTTGGATTACTGTTAAGTCATTTCAGTTCAAAAATAAATTTAGCATCAGATTCATTTTTTGTCAAAACTGATGCTTTTGTAAAATTGATTTCCCTTCTTTCTGAAAATCTTTCTTACGTTACTTTTAAGTCAAGGCATGAAAGTGCAGTTTTTACTCTGAATGACAAAGGCACAGGACAGAAGACATCCACAGTCCAAATCAAATCAATAACAACAATTAAGACAATCCGTCAACAGAGTGCACATAAATCTGCTCATTAAAGCACTGTAACATACAGAATAGGACACAGCAATTGCTTATATGTCTTAAGACAATATTTGACACAATAACTAGATTTTACATTCACATAAAACCCATACCTTGATATGTTCACATGAAGAGGTAATGTGATGTCATATAAGTAGTTCATACATAAACAGCTACTATGTACGAGATAAAATGTCAGTTTTATTGCCAGAATGATATTATCTGTTTCCTCTTGTGATAAACTTTAAGATAAAAAGAGCAAGAAAAAATATATAGCATTTTGTTTATAATATTTCTTAAAGAAAAAATTCTGAAAAATGAATCTTAACAAATCAGAAAAGTTAATGTAAGTGCATGGCATTAATACACACAAGAACTTGTATCTGAATGTCCAGTCAACCTGGAAATCATTTTTTTTGTACATCTTTTGTATTGTTTGTTTTATACAAAACATTATGCTTACATTCATAATAAAAACACATAGATTGAATGTATCACTTTATTTTCTTTAAGTAAGAAAATATAATCATGTTATACTTTAAACACTATGTTGTTTGGTGGTCCATGTCAAAGCCAGAAAACAACATTTTTCATGATATGTTAAATTATTTTTCACAGCATACTTCAAAGTATTTAGTGTTTTGATATTGTCTGCACGTCCACAAAAATAGACATTTACAGGAACATGTAAAATTCTGCTTATTTTTGATTAATTACTATACAAATTGCATAATTATTTGAGTACATATACTAGCGTTCAAAATTTGATCTCACGCACATAGAACACACATATTTCTAGTTTAATGCACATGCAAGTGTGTTTCATGTGAAATGAACATCCTTCATTTTCATTTGCTTTAAATATTAGTCAGTTTCGTCAAAGATTCTAAGCTTTCCATGGTTCAATCCCAGCTGGTAACTCCGGTCATACAGCAGAGCTTTTGTCTTGTCTTGTGTCTCTGTGACTCATTATTGTGACTCACTTTGGTGCCTAGGTGCACATCATTTAAATATGTAGCATTGTGCAGGCATCGCTGGCAGACTGTAAGTATGAAACACATGTTTTACGAGTTGTGTGATCATCATTTTTCTTGAAGTCTGGGCTTTTTGAATACATACCCATGCGCATAATGTTGTCTGATATTTCTTAGAGGGAATTTGTGATTTCCTTATGTGTTCTGCTTTTTATTTGGACATTACTGTTCACTTCAGTTTAATTCTAAAATCTACATTTTTGCTTGGAAAACAGTGGTTTGAGTGACAAACCACTCACCAAGGCTCCATCTGAGCTTTAAAACAAACCAGTTCATTTGAGAAAAAAGACCTTTGAGAAAAGGCCCATTGGATCAGCTGACTTGAGTACACAACATGTGTTTGAGGGTCAAAGGTTGTGTCCTCAAGTCATTCAACCATTTCAGCAGCACTGTCCAGTGTGTTCCTGTGCGTATTTCACCAGTTTATTCCAATTGCTGTGCTGTCATTTTCATGGTTTGGGAAATGGGAAACTTTGGGAAATTGATTTTTATTGTTTTCATGTCTTTGTTTTTAAATGATATCCCTTTGGTCCGTGCATTAACGAACCTCCTCTGTTTAAGGTGAGCTAGGACTTGTTGGATAATAACATGATCTTTTTACAAAATATGTGTTCACAGTTTGTTTGTAGCATCTAACGAAAATAACAAAGCAGTGCACCAGATTAGCATGATTTCCCGAAACCCTCTGCGTGTTGTCCTAAAGCTGTTTGCAGCTTCACAATATCTTAGCAATAGTCTACAGCCACGCTAGCAGCTCTGTGAGCCACAGCAGTGCTTAGAGCTAAATGCTAAAGTCAGCATGGCAGCACACTAACAATGACAATACTACCATGCTTATGTTTAGTAGGTATAATGTTTACCATGCTCTCCATCTAAGCTTAGTGTGCTAGCATGCTAACATTTGCTAACTAGCACAAACCACAGATTAAAGCTGAGGTTCATTTGATTGTTGCAAGACGAGAATTCAGGGGATCGCCAAAGTCATTGGGAAACATCCTTAGGGAACCATTAATGCCTGTAGCACAGTTTATGATAAGTGAAAACTTTGATCTGCTGGTGGCATTACAGGAAAGTTCAGGGGATCACTGGTGTCAGTACAATTCATTCTCTGGGAATAATGAGCGTCTGTTCAAAATGTCATGTCGTTCCATGCAACTGTTTCTGAGATATTTCAGACTGGGTCAAAGTGATGAACTGACAGACAGATATTGCCATCATTAGAGCCGTACCGCTAGCATGGCTAATATGTTGCAGAATATTTTAAATACTCCATTTAACAGATTTGCGTTTATAATTCGTCACTATTTTGTTGAGGTTTAGATTACAGATGATGCGAGGTCAGCAGAGTATGTTAAACTGGATGTGAGTTGGACGTCTGGACTGGAAATCTTAGACACAGATGTAGACTTAAAAGAGACACATTTTGCAGAAACCAGTCATCTATTGTTATGTTTTTGTAAGTGATTTAAAGCTACTTAATATGCAGCCCATGAACATGTTTGTATTGCTTTATTACTATCATCAGTTATATCAGAATTGGGTGCATTCCAAATGGCAGCTAGAGTTCTAGTCAACAACAGTATTATGTTTTGATATATTAGATACAGCACAGCTATTAGCCTACTACAGCACGTACTTCTACAGTCTGCTTTCCTCTATCTAATTTCTTAAAAAACATCATAATTCTGAATTAATGACATACTCTTCTTTTGAATACTAATCAGCCCTTGAAATGTTTTTCTTTAAATTTTCACCTTTATGCTTTTAGTTGTGGTCATACAAACCCACTGCATGACATCATTTAGTCCGTTATCGAGAGAAGCTGTGACAGAATCATCGTCGGCCATGAAAACATTGAGCAAAACCAAAAACAGTATTTTTGGTGAATGTTTAAATTTCCATTTTCCTTCCTTAAATTCCTTTGTAACCAGCTGGTGTAGCATTTATTTCATTCCTCTGCGCAACATTTGATTTGCTGCTATCAGCATAACGCTGATGATGAATGCAATGGCGAAGGCACAAATCAGGCTTTTACGCACACATGTGTGTTTTTCCTGTTGAGTTGGGCTTGCTGTGGAAAGATTGAGAAGAAATATTAGCACATCTTAGCGTCTCATCAGAGCTTTAAAAATGTCTGAACAATGTGTGAAATAAAATATGCATGTGACATACTGTCAATGTCCACATGGGAGTCTGTACTGTTTAGGTGCTTCTCCTCAGTCATGATGATGTTCTCAATGTCTTTCATGGTGAGATGGTCCCGGAAAGTGTCGTAAAGCAGTCTCTTCAGCTCATCCACAGTCAGTTTCTGCATGTCACACTGGGGAGACATAAAACACCAAGAAAGGTCTAATTAGCAGAGGAAAAACTCTTGTCTCAAATCCCCTCAGAGACACAAATAGGCTGTAGAACAACAATATATAATGGTAGTACAGGGCAGCTCCGGGTGAACTAATTGACTTCATTATGCAACTAAATGCAAGGTGATGCACATGTACATATGATACTGCATGTGACATACCGTAATTATCAGAGTGGTGTATGTCAAGGCCATTTGGAAAATTAGTTCATGAGAAAAGTCAAAGAAGCACGTGAGAGTATTATGCATAATGTGAGAATAACGTTAGAATTTGTTATTTAAATGACTAAAATATATATCAGTAATTTCTGTATTGTCATGTAATTGAAACAGATGACTCTGCATCACGCAACAACAGAGAAGCCAGGAGGGAGACTTACTTAAAAAAGGAAAGAGAATTGATTCAAGGACACTGATAAATGACAAGGTATAGACTTGATTGCGGATACTTATGTCAACATATACCTTCCAAAACACTGAATCAAAGTCTGCTCCATGGAACTTATCAGGCATTCCAGCAGCAGAGAGTTTAGGACCGAGCAATGTGACAAATTCATCAAAGCCAACTTGACCGTCACCTGATGGAACAGACAGAAATACAAACCTGTCACTGTTTAGCTCATACTGTATGTTGGAATAAATGCAACAGTCTTCTTAACTCGCTGACAGAGAGAAAGAGAGAGAGAGAGAGGGAGAGGGAGAGAGAGAGAAAACATACCATCTATATCAAGTCTTTGGATGATGACCTCCAGCTCCACCTCATTGGGCATGTAGCCCAGTGAGCGCATGGCCGTCCCCAATTCCTGCTTTGAGATGAAGCCGTTCCCATCACGGTCAAATACTTTGAAAGCTTCACGGATCTCTGTTTGGAGAAGAAGGGCAGTGATTATGTTAAGCGTGGAGCAGAAGGAGCAACGGCATGTTAATATAGATTTATCACAATTTCACACTGTGAGCAACAGCATGCTGGCTCAGTTGAGAATGTTATTTGAAATATGTCTGTACACAGACAGTAGTAAGAGTTTAAGGTCAAAGTCAAAGCACAAGAAAGTATGCTTTGTGCAGACAAATCCTGATATGCTCTTATTCCTTTGTATAAAGTTCCATTGTTGTCAAAAAACTAATGAAATAAATTAGCAATGTTCCCACATTACAATGAAAATGAAATGGTGGAGACTGTAGTTGAATGTTTCAGCACCATGGAGAGAGACAGAGACTG